ACGTCAAAGGCTCAGCCTCCCCTGTGGGATTCCGGTCTGCGGTCCTCCTAGGTGAGCTCCAGTTCATCTCTTAGATGTACCAGAGCAGCTGTATGAAATTAGCGACTTAAAGCATCATCAGGAAGAGCATTTTTGACAAAGCAGGAAAGGACTCTTGTTGCTGCTGCCGTCATAAGCATTATCGCACTTATCGATCAGGGCCAGCCCGCGACATCTCAGGGTCTGGGGTGGTGCCCATGGGCCTGGCTCCAGAATGCTGGCTCTTTCTCCTCCACAGGAAATGTCCTACTGCTGTCTCTACTCTGCCCCAAGATGATCAAGGAATTATGTCACTTGTCTCTTCCCAGGAAGGCCCCAGTTCTCCAGCTGTGTCCTGTCATCACCCCCAAGCTGATTCAATTCAGATGCCCAGGCCCCAGTCCCAGAGAGTGTGACCCAGTAGGTCTTGGCTCAGGTCCAGGAATTAGCGTGTTGACTCTCACATGCTCTTAATATCAGAAGCTCTTGATATTAGGGATCCCTGAGCCGTGCTTTGACAAATACTGAGTCTTTAGGTGATCACGTCGCAATTGTGTACAAGAGCATCCACGTGGATTAACTCTGAGCATGTGTGTGTGTATGTGTGTGTGTAGTTCTAAGAGGATGGACATTAAAAAGTCTATAGCGGTGATCCCTGGGTGTAATGAGATTTCAAGAGGTTTGAGATCTATTTCTCTGTGCTTTTCTATATTGTTCTAATTTTTTTTTAATATATATAATGGGCATATAATTTTCCTCAACAGATAAAGTCATCAAGTCTTTCCCATGGGCAGGGAAGAGCAGACTATTATAGAGGAAATATTAACTGTGTAGGAAATAGACTTGGGGGAAATGTGGACCTACGGCAAGAAGGCCACAAGTGTAAGTGATGTTTTAATTCCCAGAGCCTGCATCCCTCTTTTCTGTGGTGTCCAACTCCTGAGCCTGCCATCGAGAAGGAAGGAATGTCACACCTCCTGTTTTCAAATGGCCTGTTCTTGGCAAAGCCGGGGCCAAAGTCATGCCTGGGAATTTGGGACGGTGGGCTCGAGAGAGAAGGCTGAGCCGCCCCTCTTGTCCCTGTTCCTGGAGCCCCACCCTGCCTCTCCGCCCTGTTCCGCGCACGGGCACCCTGGCTGGCCAGGCAGAGCCAAGATGGCGATTTTACAGTGCTGTTACGACGCTGTTGTTGTCCAGTAAACCCACACCGGGCCCCACAAACACTCCTCGAGAAGGCCAGACCCTTCTTGAGAAATGGTTTCCTACACCTTTACAACGTGATAGGTGCCGTGGAAAAAAGGGGCCGTTGGATTTATGGAAACTATATAAAGTTTATAGAGTCTTGGCAAGCCAGAAGGAGAAAAAGCCTGTGGGATGGGGGTGGGTACTTGGAAATGGAGAAGGCCCTGAAAGGGCATCAGGCTTATGTGTCCAGACACCAGACGAAATACCTCGAGGGCATGCGGTGGGGGGAGGGGGCAGCCTTTCTGTAACAACTGTTGGGGGCGCCCTGCAGGCAGGCCCCATTTGGTCTTCAGGGCGTCCCGGTGAGGGAGGCACAGTTTCCCCAGTCCTGCAGAGGGGAAGCTGAGACAGAGGTGTTCGGAAAGTTCTGACCTTGTCTAAGGTCACACAGAGAATGGCCTAAGGGCGTGTGGCTCTCAGCTGGGCCTTCTGGGGCAGGCTCAATTCTCTCACTCCGTCTCCTGTGTCCTGAGTGGCGTGTCCCAGTTTCAGGTTCAGAAAATACGGTCTCTGTACCCTATTTTGGGTTGGGACCGTTTGCTATTTGTGACTGAGTTTCTTGGTCCCCTGGTGTCTTCAGGCATCACCATGCTGTCCTGTGGCTCCCCTTCGCTCTGAAAGTTGATTTGTGCCCGAATCACCCACGGACCTTGGCAGTGAAGCCACCCAGAGGTTGGCTGTGGATCAGGGTGGGCTAAAATGCTGTCTTTGCCTTTCGGGGTCCCTTCTGTGTCCCACGTCTATGGGGGATCCTCTTAGGGCCCCCAGAGGAGTCCCCTGTGGAGTCTGAAATCACCTCCTCCGAACCCGGCAGCCCGTGAAATTTCTAATTCCCTTTTCCTTGCTTGTGTGCCTTGCGGCGTCCGTGTTTTCTCTCTTCCTTGGCTGTAATTCTTGGGGTGCAGATTCCATGAATGCTTAATTCTTCATCTGTGATTTTGCCCACAGGCTTGGGCATGGTTCCCAGCAAGTAGTAATCACCGAATAAATATCAGCTGGGAGGCTGGCTGGCTGGATGAATAGATGGATGAGTGGATGGATGGATGGATGAGTGGATGGCTGGCTGGCTGGCCTGGTGGGTGGGTGGGTGGATGGAGGGATGGATGGACAGACAGACTGATGGGTGGATGGGTGAATGGATGGACAGATAGGTGGGTGGGCGGGCAGAATGATGAGCCGTATATATAGACTAACAGACACCCACTTCCTCATTTGCACCCTTCCGCACAGTTAAACTAACAGCCTACGCCTGGTTCTCTTAGGCTTTCACTGAATGCACTTCTGTTTCAGGAGACAGACTTTGCTCTCTCTGAAGCCATATGGAGAAACCAGCCTGAGTGTTTGAATGTGTGTGTAAATACTTTACAGTCCCCATAAACTTGTTTAAAGACAGGTGGGGGTGAAGGTATAAACTGGGGCAGCCTTTTGGGAGGGCCATTTGGAAGTAGCTATTAAATTTTTAAATGTGCCTACTACTAAGACCCAGCAGTTCCACTTGGAGTCGTCAAGCGTAAGGAATATATTCACACGTTTGTGCACAGAGACTCACATACCGGGGTGCTTGTACCTGGAGCTGGTTACTGCCCTGCTCCACACAGTGAAAAACCAGAAACTGCCCATGTTTATCCACAGCGAGAAAGACACAAAACTGGGGGAGACCCACACTATGGGAAAACCTGCAGCGGCAGAAAGCTCTCCTGTATTCTGGAAAGTTCTGAGACTCTGTAACTCATGGCCCTTCCTGCCTCATTGCCATCAGCTTCTTTTCCTTTCTCCCTCCCTTCTCCACCCACAAAACACAGTTTGCTGGAAGGAGATCTTTCAACCTGATGCCTGCTAGCCAGTGACCTTCCCTTACAGAGAAGAAGGAGTATGAGAGAGAAGCAGTTATGTGTATAATTACTGTCTGCTGGCTCTTCAATTAAAAAGATTGAAAGGCACAATATTAAAATTTGATTTATGGGCACCACTATCTACCTAATAATGAGGCTGGGAGGAAAAAAAAAGAACCACAGTCGTCGTTAGAAAAAACTGTAGGCTTTTTTTTTCTCTGCCAGGAGATAAATTGCCTCTCATTTTCTTATTGCTAAAGAAATGTGAAATGGTTTTAAGCATATGTGATATGTTCTTCCAATGAGTTGAAATCCAGAACTTAGTAATTTAGGAGTCATCTGGCTCCGACGTTTCCAGGAAGCTTCCTGAGAGACGTAGCAGCTTCAGCAACGGGGGCTGCTGCCACGGTCCACGGGGCTCCCAGACCCAGACTGAGGTACAGCTACCACCGCTGGTCACAGAAACTTCCTTCAGGTCCCCGGGCATCAAGCCGGCTGATGCCACACAACCTGGGAGAGAATGGGAAAGCACCGACTCTAGTTCCAAGTCCCAATTTTGGGGCCTATTCGTTCTCTGATCCTTGATTTCTTCATCTGCAAAATGGGAACCATACCCTTACTAATTGCATGATGCTGGGCAAGTGCCCTGGTCTCCCCACCTTGAAGGTATAATAGCCCCTCCCTGAGAGGGTTGTAGGAAGGATTAAGTCAATGAATCTGTGTAAAGTGCATAGTTGGGTACCTGCCATGTAGCAAGTGCTCAGTAAATATTTTTTACAATCGTCATCATCAACACTGCAGATGCCTTTGTCGTAGTTTTTGGAAGAGTTGGAATTCAAACCCAAGTCTTCCAATTCTAGGGTGCTGGCTGATGAGGGATGGATAGACAGATGCTTGGTTCTGTCTCTCTCCAACTGATGCCCAAGGCAAGTCAGGGTACTTCTCTGAGCCCCTTGGTGTTTATCTGTAAGATACTAGTTTCTACTTTGCAAGGTGATGTCAGGTTTAAAGATTGTTGGAAACAAAGTGTCCAGGACACAATTAGTTCTGGGCAGACAGATGGTAATAACCCTTGAAAAGCACGATCTTTCCTTCAAAACCTATTTGGGAGGTGGGGGGGGGGAAATGCTGTCCTCCCGGAGGAGAAATCTGTGTCTAGTTGGCGCCCCCCCACCTCACTAGAGCTGTGCAGAACTCCCCTGCCCCAGGAGTGGGGAGGGGAGAGTGCAAAGTATTCCCTGGCTCTGAAAATAATAGCTGCAAAGAAGAGAAAAAGGAGCAGCCATCGTGCCAGAAACTGTGTCGAGCTTGACCTGCAGGGTCACAGGTCAGTCTCACGGTGGCCTGGTGGTGAGCCGGCCTTATCTTCACGGGCAGATCAGATATGGGGACAGGCGACTGGCCCAAGGGCACAAAGCTGGAGGTGACCAGGCTCAGAGTCCAAGCCAGGACTGTCAAATTCTTTCCGCCACGCATTGCCGAGCCCCCTCCCAGTTCCTAGTCCCTGACTTCCCCTCCTCTCCTCCATCCCAGCTCTTCTGACCCATTTCTGCGGCAGGGGTGTGGCACCATCGCCCAGAGCTTTAAATTTGTATCTTCCCACCAGCCCTCCTGCTGGAGAGTCAAACGCCCCAATGCTTATGTGAGCTTGTGCCGACCATTTTGTTCTGTGTGTCTGAATTTGTGGGTGTTTAATCTGTTTAAGGTGCTTGGGGTTGGGCTGGAGAAAATGGATTCTAGGTGCTGCCAGCGCCTTGCCAACCCTGTTCTGGGAAGGTTTCCATACCTATGGGACTTCTGGGCTCTCCATCCTACAGAGATTCCATAGACTCTCCCCCTTGGGAAGAGGGCAGGATTTTGCACGTATTTCTTTTCACCCAGCTAATGGCATCTCTTTATTTTCAGTTGAGAGGGAGAATGTGCAGAAGCGGACTTTTACTCGATGGATAAATCTCCATCTGGAGAAGGTAAGCAAGGCACTTGGGTTGTTAGGTGATCAATGCTTCCATAACTGGGTACATAGTTCAGTAGCGCAGTGAGGACGGGAGGGGGATGCTCTGTGTTCTTGTTGTGTTGGTGTTTTTCATTCATTCATTTAAATGTTTGTTGAGTGCGTTCTCATTGCTGAGAATCAAGTTCAGTGCTGGGAACAATCCCTTGGACAGAGGAGCCTGGTGGAGACTGGCATGCTAGAGTCCATAGGGTCACAAAGAGTCGGCCATGACTAAAGCAACTTAGCATGCACGCATGCACACACACTTTGAACGCAAAGACACGTAAGACACGAGGTTCTGACCTTGTGAGGTTATCAGCCTAGCTGGGGAAGGAGAGGGTCCATCTTTAAATGGGAATCGATGAGCAGAAGTTAGGAAACATTCATTGCTGAATAACCCAAACATGGGATTGCAGGGGGATCTTGACTTCTAGTCTAGAGAGGTCAGGGAAGCTCTCATTAAGACCCATGTATAGGTATTTGGGTTGATTAAGCAAGAACTCCTGACACTTTTTCACCAAGCCAGATTGCCTGGTTCATCACATAAGGCTGCTATCGATCAACAGTATTATCTGCTCGTTTTGGTGCATCAGACACTCAACTCCTTTAATCCTCAAGACAGCCTTCCTCATGCTGTTCCAGAAGCCTGTAGACATTGAATTGTGTCCCTGTAATCCCACAACTCTCAGAGAGGAAAGCTCTTCCTTTGGCTTCCCTTGCATATTCAATTTGGTGGCCCCTCTTCTTCCAGGGCACCCCCGTTTTTTTTTTTTTTTGCTAACATTCTCTGACCAAGCAACGTCCAGCCATATTTTGTCTGCCAGCCTCTCAGGCACACAAACCCTAAAACAAAAGTGTCTGAACCAGACAGAAGGATGAGCAGCGGAGGAGGGGCAGGATGTGAAATGGATAAATAAACCATTCAGAGGCATAGAAATCCAAACCCTCCTCACCACTAGCTTAGCCTCCAGGGGGAGAACATTCTAAATTGCCCCCGGGGCTGGGGAAGGAGAGATTCTTTTTCTCGTTTACAAGAAAGCTGATTTATGAGGATTCATTTTATTCGCTTTGCATCTTCTTAAATTCCACGATCTGGTTCTCCCAATAGACCCAAGCAGTAGTCTCGCATGTTTCACAGCTGGCGGCGATATTCAAGGATTCCTCTTCAGTGACATTTCTTCTTTCTTCTCCTCTTAAAAGGCACAAGGGTAATATTGATTGCCCTTAAGAGCTCTCCCCAAAGAAAGGTTCATAGAGGAAAATCACTAAAATGATTAGAAAGCAGAGAAAATAAATGTGGCATTTTAGGAAGTGGTGCTCTTGACCCACATTCTAATTCACGTAGTGTGAGCTTTAGTCCTATAATATTTCCCCAGTAGCTGCCTGACCACCCACACTTCTGCTCCCCACCTCTAGAATGGGGTCCGCTCAGCCCAGGAGGTTCCTCAAATCTCCAGGGCAAAAACTCTCTACATTACGGATGAAGCATTATAAATTATTTGCCCGTTGTTTTGACTATTGGTGCATTTTCGGCCGTGTTCATAAAGTGAAGTGTTATTTTTGGGAAAAAAAAAAGGAAAACTGTTCCCAAAACCTGAGTTCCCCGAACTCCTAAATTAATGCCTGATGTGTGTCAGGGTAACTGGAAATTCCTCCTGGTGGACGAAGCTTAGCCAGGGCATATTTCTTTCTTTCTTCCCTTTTATAAATTAAAAAATAAATACAGAAAAGCACGGAGGGTTAATAGAGCAAATACTCATGCACCAACTCAACCCCCAAATGAATCTCTGTTAGCCTTATCACATCCAGAATTTTCTTTCCGGCCACACTTCTGCCCCTGTTTCAAGGCAGGTGGGTAGCACCCACTCTGAAGATAAATCAGACACCACTTGAAACTGATGCCTAACACACAGGGCAAAATTCACAGCCGTGTTTCCAACCTTGAGACTTTCAAGAACAACCTTTCATGTAAAGGAAACCGAGGAACTCCTCAGGGAAGTGGGCTTAGCTGCAATTTGAAGGCTGTCAGAAATATTTACGGACTCTCTGGCTTCTGGAAAAAATCCTTAATTTACCGAAGGAGTTAGATCATGAAGAAACCCCTGGGGGTGCTGTTTACTTGGCCATACCAATCTCATGAAGCCCACGGAACGTCTGGAACCCCGAGGAGTGTTTTCACTGGAGTGGGTTCAATTTCTCCTCTTGCCATCATGCGGATGGCTGCCAGCCAAGGCCCTGCTTTCCGCTGCTGGGCTGGGGCTCTTAGAGACACTGTCAGTGGGAACGACCCTCCTGGTTCAGCTCCAAGGCATCGCTCGGCTACGCTCGGGGCTGGTAACTAGAAATGCTGTGAGTCCATCTATCAGGGGCTGTTTTTGTTCGGGTCTTGTGCCGTTTCTGCCCCATGTTAGCAGGAATAACATTCCCCTATGAGTCTTGGTAACCTGATGCCGTCGTGCTCCGTGTGGAATGTTCCTGAGGAGCAGCGGGGAGTTTGCAAAGAAAATAATTTGCCTCTGGGTTCAAAGTCACTTTTGCCCTTGAAGCAGAACCCTCTTCTGTGCACCTGTGGGTGGAATTGCCCTGTGTTTTGACTACCTAGGGGTGTGGGTGGGGGGCTCATATAAGAGGTCAGGAAATGCCACCTTCCTGAATAGAAAAAGAAAACACAGGCCCTCCGAGGCTTTCACAGGATGGGAGTTCCCTGAGAAAAGGGTGCCCGGGCCACAACTCCAATAGTTCCCTGGTTCCCTGGCTGGTGACAGCAGCCACCCCCTGCCCTCACCCCGTTAATCCCATCTCCAATGGGAACCACCCCCATTCCTTGTACCCAAAAGCAGAGAGAGTGAGTACCCAGCTGAAATGTTCTACTGCTTCCAAAGATTCCAGTACCAAAAAGTAAATAGAATTCATGCTGGTTGTTGTTATTGTTTAGTTGCTAAGGTGTGTCTGACACCCCATGACCCCATGGACTGTAGCCCACCAGGCTCCTCTAGCCATAGATTTCCCAGGCAAGAATACTGGAGTGGGTTGCCATCTCCTCCAGGGTTCTTCTCAATCCGGGGATCGAACCTGCATCTCTTTCATTGCAGGTGGATCCTTTACCACTAAGCCCCCGGGGGAGCTCCATTCATGCTGGGGAGGGGGGCGGCGGGAGGGAGGTGGTAGTTAAAAATACAGGTTTCTGGCCCCTGGCCCCCAAAATTCAGTAAGTCCTAACCATCCTGCATTAAAATTTTTATCAAGTTTGTTTAGTCAACAGAAGCCTTTCTGTAGGCATAGTCTTACCTGGAACTCTAAATAAAAACCACTAAGAGCTGATGAGGTAAATGTAGTGGGTTGGTCTCCTTTTGGAACCCCCTCCCCCCAGTGGGGTCCCTGAAGCTGCTCTGCTGAAGCCTAGGGTTCCGGGGAGCATGGTTTGCAAAGCCCTGTGCTGGGACAGCTGACCAACAGGTTCCTGCTGGCCCCACGCACCCCAGGCCACACCTAGCCAAGTTCTGGGTGGACAGGGCACGGTGTCCCTCAGACCTCCCCAGGTCAGAGAGGAAAGCAGTTGGGCTTCTGGCTTTTTCCACCTGGAGCCTCCTCCGGGAATCCCCGGCACAACCCCTGCCTATGCAGCGCCATCTCCAGGGAAAGAGGGTTACTACCTCCTCAGATGCCCATAGGCAGCTCTGGATGTTGCAGGTTTTTTCCTCCAGATCACTGATCGGCTACTTTCTTTCCCCCTCTTCTGCAGTGCAACCCACCTCTAGAAGTTAAAGATTTATTCATCGATATACAAGATGGCAAAATCCTAATGGCTTTGTTAGAAGTCCTGTCTGGGCGGAATCTGGTACGTATCTTCCAGAAGGGTTGGGAAGAGATGAAAGTCAAAGGAAAACGCTGCCCGTAGTTCTTTTCCATCCAGATCTCTATGTCTGTACATATATCTGGCCATCCATAAGTTCCTATGATGGGAAACTTGGGAGGGTAACATTCCTTTCTCAGTGACTAAGACTGATATAATCATGTATAACTAAGCAAATATACCTTAGCAAGTAAATAAATGCCCCATGTTTTCTGTGAGTCCAAAGCTGAAGATTTTAACTGGATCGAGAGTGTTTAGCGGGCCAGCCATTCAGTTAACTAGAATGAGAGATAAGATTCAGGAATATGGACAAGACCCCACGGCTAAAGCTAGATACACAGAATTCTGGAACCTTCTTGTGAGTATGGCTGAAACTGAATTGAGCCAGCTGGTCTTGAGGTTCATTCCAATTTGGAACTCTGCCAACGTGCTCCACACTGCCTGGTTCTGACGTGTGCAAGTCAGTCCTGTCTCCCTGATTCACCGAGCAGTGTTGAACAGCTTCAGCACTGTTGGCATTTTGTTTCGTTTTGTTTAATTTTTAATTTATTTACTTAGTTGATTGCACGGACTCCTCATTGCTGCAGGCTTTCTCTGGTTGCGGTACTTGGGCTTCTGATTGCAGTGGCTTCTTTTATTGTGGAGCACAGGCTCCAGGGCACATAGGTTTCAATAGTTGCAGCTCCTGGGTTCTAGAGCATGGGCTCAGCGGCTGTGGTACCCGGACTTAGTTGCTCCCAGGCGTGTGGAATCCTCCCGGACCAGGGATTGAACCCGTGTCCCCTGCATTGGCAGGCGGATTCTTATCCACTGTACCACCGGGGAAGTCCACTGTTAGCATTTCGGGGGGGGGTAGTTCTTCATTGTAGGGGCTGACCTGGTCATTGCCAGATGTGTGACAGCATCCTTGGTCTCTCTCCACTGGGTACCGGTAGCACCCGCAGATGTTACAACCAGAAATGTCCCGAGGCACTGCCAGATATTCCTTGTTTTGGGGGGGGGGGGCATCCAATGATCTGGTTTGAGTACCAGAGGTATCAATTTTGAGAAACGGGCTCTAGAGTCCAGTGTTTGATTGGTCCACATGATCCAGTGTGGCTGATACGAAAGTGTCTCTGTAGGGCCCCAGCTCTCCCAAACCACAGTTCAGCCCATGCCGACCTCCCTGGGTTTGCTCTTAACGCTAGGTTTAAAGTCAAGAGCTCTGACTTCAGTTTTCAGCTCTCAGGCAGCTGGAGTCTTCCCCAAGCCCTCACCCCTTTCTTGCCTTTCTTTTCCCAGTAGTCACCTCCAAGGGGGCTGTGCCAAGTGACGTGAATTCTTATGAAGGGCAGACCCACTGTGGTGGAAAGAGTACTTGGTTTCTTGACTGATCTCACAGTGGGCTGGCAGCATAGTCCTTCAAAGGCTTCTTGAAAAAGCATATTCTAGTCCCTGGTTCTGTATTGCCAGCAGCCCAGGCTCCCACTTTGTTGCCTGGGCACTAATCGGGAGCTGCTATAGCCTCGGTGGGAGGGGAGACTCTGCTGGGAGTGTTTGATCCGGGAGTCCAGCCGAGAACAGCCAAGACCTCACCCGTGAGCTCCCCTGGCAGCTCATACCATGTGCAAGGGATATCCACTGGCTTGCCCGTTAGTGTGAAGCACTCACCCCAAGGATCAGGGATGGGCTTCCGTTTCAGGATGAGTTTCCTTTGCCAGTGCTCCTAGCGTGTGCAACAAGCATTGTCAGAGTTTTTGCTTCTTCAAGCCCCTTTCTCTCTTTCTCTTTGGGTTTCTCTTTGTCTCTCTGTGTCTGTCTCTTTCTTGGTGTCTCTGTCTCTCTGTGCTTCTGTCTCTGTCTCCATCTCTCTCTCCCTCTATCTCTCTGACGTGGGATACATGTCCACCAAGTCCTTGGCCAGAAAACAGAAACATCTGTGGCCTCCGGGGAGGGTTTGCCGGATGATTTAGCAGCTGCGGGTGACGCTCCCGGCTGGCGCTCTCTGCCTTGACAAACGGCATCAGCGCAGAGAGGAGAGCATGTCACCGACAGTCTCTGGGGGAGGGAGGCGTATCAAAAGCCAGGAGCTGGGTCAGAGAGGGAAATCTGACAAATCTGCCCCCTGTTTAACCCCCGGGTTCCCCTCCCTCACCAGCTCAAGTGAGTTTGGCCCCAGGAACCATAAATAAGGCGACCCTTGGGGACCCCTGAGACTGCGGTTGTGTGTGCCGGGGCCCCGTGCATGGGTTTGGATGGGGTCCATGCAGGCTCTGCTGTGAGCCCCGTCCTTCCCTTGAGATTCATGTGGAAAAGGTAAAGAAAGAAGACAAGCGCCTCCAATGGCACCGCGGGGATCCGAGTGCCTGTCTGGGCTTAACTGTTGTGCCGTCCTGTTTTGTGTTACAGCTACACGAGTACAAATCCTCATCCCATCGTATTTTTCGGTTAAACAACATAGCGAAAGCACTTAAGTTTTTGGAAGATAGCAATGTAAGTATCTGAAACACATCTTGTTCACAGAGCCTCCCCTGAGACAAAAAAAAAGACATGATTTGAAGTCTAGTGCTGGTCACAAGAGATGCGGGCAAAGGGGTCCCTGCTAAGACAGTCAGATGGAACAAGTTGAAATGTTAACGGAGCTCCATCAGTCGAGATACAGCTAATCCATCAGGCGAGATGCAGTCCCTGATTCCCTGCCCACCCGCCCCTCCAGCTCCATCAGGATGGAAACTCCGGTGGATGTCTGGGTGTGGGAAGGGCAGAAATGCTGAGTGGCTCTCAGATGTTCAGAATGTAGTTGACATTTTCCTTTTCACTTTGGAGGTTAAGAGTACAGTGAAAAGCTAGTGCTCTGTGACTACCTAGAGGGGTGGGATGGGGCGGGAGGTGGGGGCATGGTTCAAGAGGCGGGGAACATATATATATGGCTATGGCGGATTCAGGTTGATGTATGGCAGAAACCATCACGGTATGGTAAAGCAATTACCCTCTAATTTTAAAAGGAGTACAGTGAGCATGTCAGGGTGTAAAACTTGTTCTTAGCACTCAGAATATGGCAGAAGCAAGGCAGAGAAGGGGGCTAACTGAGCCAGAGGAAAATCACGTAATTCTGTCCTCTTTGATAGAACTTTCCAGACTTAAATTAGCCTTTTCTGTGTTTTGAACTCTGCTTCATGTCCTTCAAAAATGGGAGGGAATGGCCCTAGAGAGATAAAATTTCCAAAGTTCCCCTTTCATTAAGTTTCATCAGTTACTCTGGGTGGAAAGCCCTTAGCTTGCCTGACATGTCGGCATGTACAGTAGAACGTCATCACAAAGTGCTATTCGTTTGGCGCTCCTGGGTCATAAGGGGATCTAATCTGGGCTGATACAAACAGCAAAGGAATGTGTTGAAAGGATGCCAAGGACTCACAGGATGACTTCAAAGCCTGGGGAACCAGGGGCGGAGCCCAAGATTGCTAAATGCCAAGACCACTGCGGCGCCCCACCACCTCTGAACGCAAGGACCCACGTGGGCATGGCTGTCACTACTCTGTCCCTCTGCCCCCACTCCCACAGCCCCTGGAAGGAACTCTCAGCGTCACTCATTCAGGTTCAAAGGCCTGGGCTGATAAGCCTGTATCCTCACCCCTGTCCTGGCTGCCAAGTGCGGAGAAAAGCGGTTTTGGCTTTTGAAGAGGGAGGTAGGCTCTGCCTCCCATTCTGTAGGGAAAGACCCAACCTAGGAGGCGGTTCAGATGGTGGGGACCAAAGGGCATGACACAGCTCACAGCACCATCATTCATAATAGCCCAAAGGTGAGAGCAACCCGGATGCCCATCCATGGACCAAGGGATGAACAAAGTATTATCTGTCCATGCAGTGGAATATTATTCCACCCTGAAAAAGAAAGGAGTGTTGATACAAGCTACATTGTGGATGAAACTTGAAAACATTATGAAAGATGCTGGACCAAAAGGACCACTTGTTCTAGAACTCTATTCCTGTGATATGTCCGGCACAGGGAAATCTCTCGAGTCAGAAGACAGATGAGTGTTTGCTCAAGGTGGAGAGGAATTGGGAGATTAGACAGGTGACAGGTAAAGGGTACAAGATTTCTTTTCAAGGTGATGAAAATGCTCTAAAATTATGGTAACACTAAAAAACCATGGAATTGTGTGCTTTAAATGGGTGAACTGGTTCAGCTCAGTTCAGCCACTCAGCTGTGTCCAATTCTTTGTGACCCCATGGACTGCAGCACGCCAGGTTTCCCTGTCCATCACCAACTCCAACTTCCCTGTCCAACACCAGCTATGGTTTTTCCAGTAGTCATGTATGGATGTGAGAGTTGGACCATAAAGAAAGCTGAGCGCCGAAGAATTGATGCTTTTGAACTGCAGTGTTGGAGAAGACTCTTGAGAGTCCCTTGAACTGCAAGGAAATCAAACCAGTCCATCCTAAAGGAAATCAATCCTGAATATTCATTGGAAGGACTGATTCTGAAGCTCCAATACTTTGGCCACCTGATGTGAAGAACTGACTCATTGGAAAAGACCCCGATGCTGGGCAAGATTGAAGGCAGAAAGAGAAGAGGATGAGAGAGATTGGATGGCATTACTGACTCGATGGACATGAATTTGAGCAAGCTCTGGGAGTTGGTGATGGATAGGGAAGCCTGGCATGCTGAAGTCCATGGGGTTGCAAAGAGTCGGACATGACTGAGAGACTGAACTGAACTGTCTTAACCATCATGGGCCATGAACAGTGATGTCAGTACTCTGTGTCCAAAGACATGTTAAATCTGGAGGTTTGGTGGTGGTAGTGTAGCATGCAGACAGACCCTGGGCATGTACCGTCTGTTCTTGGAAAAAGATGTCTTTCTTACTAGCTATGTGTCCTGGGCACGTTCCATTGACCTCTCTGGAATTTGTTCGCCTGAAATACAGAGATAATAGAAGAATCTGTGTTGTGGGGTTTTTGTGAAGACAAACAGTGCTAATACTCTGAGAATAGTGCCTATTAATGGGAAGCACTATGTACTGTTTATTAGACACACTTGTGTATACTTTTGCATGTTGGGGTCCCCGAGAGGTGCCCTGTGGCATCACCAAACAGCACACGTAAGAAAGAGAAACAGGAAAAAAAAAAAAAAAGAAAGAGAAACAGGCCCACAAGAGCATCAGGAAATAATGTGTTATAACCTACTTGGACCCTGTCTTTAAGCTCATACATTGCTTCTCTCCAGGTAAAGCTGGTTAGCATTGATGCAGCGGAAATAGCAGATGGCAACCCCTCTTTGGTTCTTGGGCTAATTTGGAACATAATCCTCTTCTTCCAGGTAAAATCACTTCTTTCCCATAACACACATCAGTCATCTCTGCCAATACAGGAGTGGGGCCCGGATCATGGGAGACAGTGAGATTTCGTTTCTGACAGATTTTGCCTTTTCTCTTTCCTAGAAAAGAACCAAAGGAATCTTGGTTGCTAAAGATTTTGAGTCCCTGTGATTCTAAAAGTGATGTGAGCTCTGTTCTTCTCTTGGGACTTAAAAAATTAAATATTTACTTGGAAATGTAGTTTTCTTCTAAAGGGTCCCAAGAGCCAGGGAAATACTTCCAGCCAAAAACTGAACTAGGTAGAGTTACTCTCCTAACATGACAAGTGTTCATCAGAGAAGATTAGAAAGCCTCTACAAAGACAGCTCTAGGAAGAGGCATGTGTAACAGGGGAGACCTTGCAGCCTTCACACCCTCAGCATCTGTCTGAAAATGCAGATTTTATAGAAGAGGGAGGGGGTCTGGGGCTGGAGTGTGAAGGGGTTACTTCAAGTTGTGCTCAAGTTATTTTCCCTGAGTAGGAGGGAGTAAGCTGAGTTCATCTTCTAGAATCCCCCACTTTTGAAAGAGAAAATTATGGCTCACTATTTAATGGCCCTCCCAAGAGTAAAAATGATGTACACAGAGGTGGAGCCAGGTCAGGAGGCCCTCAGCAGCAGCTTCTGCCCAGAGCTAGACAGACTCCAGGAAGAGATGATTCTCCCTGCTATGCATCCGTGCATGCACCACAAGCCACACGAAACAGCCTGGCCATCATGAGTACTGACACCCAACCCTCAGGAAGGAGTAATCAGTTCTGCGTGAGCTGATCCCTCCAGCCGGGGTCCAAGAGAGCCCATGCTGGGTCTGAAACGTCATTTTCCTTCCAGATTAAAGAGCTCACGGGCAACCTCAGCAGAAACTCTCCATCCTCCAGCCTGTCACCTGGCTCGGGGGGCACAGACTCAGACTCCTCCTTCCCACCCACACCCACCGCAGAGAGGAGTGCAGCAATCTCGGTGAAAGACCAGAGGAAAGCCATCAGGACGCTGTTGGCCTGGGTGCAGAGGAAAACGAGGAAGTAAGCCCCATGCCCTGCTCCCCAGCACCCCGCGCTGCTACCAGGGAGAGGGAGAGGGGCAGAGGAAGGGGGTGTCACTGTTTACTCAGTTCTGTGTCCATTACATGCCTGGTGCTTCACTTAGACTCTCAGAACAGGGAAGTCTGTCCTTTCTGTGTCTCTGCACAAAACTGTACTTGCTCAGTGTTTGGTTTGCAGGAAGCTGATGGGACAATTTGAATAGAAATCCAAGGGGTCTTCACCACTTTAAATCCCTAAGTGTGGTTGGCCGTGGATCCTAGTAACATGGACATGTTTATTATTATGGGTTTCCCAGGTGGTGCTAGTGGTAAAGAATTCACCTTTCAATGCAGGAGACCATAAGAGATGCCGATTTGATCCCTGGTTCAGAAAGATCCCTTGGAAGAGGGCATGGCAACCCATTCTGGTATTCATGCATAGAGAATCCCATGGAAAGAGGACCCTGGCGGGCTACAGTCCATGGGGTCACAAAGAGTCGGACACGACTGAGCAACTTAGCATGCTTATTATTAAGCTTCTGGGTATCTTTCAGGGTCTGTACCTACTTAAAAGCAAGTAACAAATCAAGGCTGCAACCTATGAGTCAGGTTGCAACCCTTCCAACACTAAGACAGGTGAACTGGAACCAGATCCTTGGACTTGTGTTTAACCCCTACCAGACTGGGAAGACCTGGTGCATCAGTTTCCTCTCTAAACTGCACCTGTAAGATGGTGACTTACTGCTCACCCCCTTATGGGAGAGTTAGGGTTAAATGAAATAAACTCTGTGAAAGCAGAGTACCAGCACTTCATAAGCACTTAGCATCAGATCCCATCTCCCCAGTATATGGAAATAAAAGGTGCCAGGAAAAATAAAAGATGGGAGGGAGGGTTAGATCTTGGGGGTTTTGATTAAGGGGTTGAACATGATAGAGTTGATTAATGTGAACAGCCATTCAATGTTGTTTTAAAATAGATAAACCAAAAGTGAGCTCATTGCCAGGAGTTAGGGTGACTGTAATGGAGAGGAAGGCTGTTTCAGGGGAGACAGTCTGTATGGCCATTGTGGCGGGGATCACAGGAATGGGTGCTTGAGACAAAGTGTCCTGGCACTTCCACCACACCTGTGACAGTGAAATCGATGAAACCCTAGTACGTGGCTTGTAGCCCTGGCTCACCTGTGGCTCATAGCCCTGGAGCCGCGTCGGTGTCTGGTTCTGACGGCACTCGCCTGTAACATAAGACGCTGTGTTGAGGGAAGCAGATGATGGGCACCAAGGTCTCTGTGCTGCTTTTGCAACTTCTTATGAATCTCACAGATATCTAAACAAAAAGATATTTGTGTTTTTCTAAGAGCGTGCAGTGACCCCGGTAGGGAAACTGGCAGCGGAAAGAGGTGCTCTCCAGGGATGGAGTCTAAAGGAAATTAATACAGGATGACCTCTCTTTGTCATTTTTAAAGTTGTAATTTTATTTCTACTAATCATGACATTAGCTAGCACTTACTGAGTGGCTTCTTTGGGGCACCTACATGACAGATGGTCCATGTGGTATGGCCCCTCTGGGGACGGATTCAACCTAACACTTCCCCGTGACCGCTCTGTTTTGTAAGTTTGAGGCTAAGAAGGTACGTGATCTGCCTAAGGCCACAGCGCTGGAAGCGTGGGGGGGCAGCCAGGGTGTGAACTTGAACTTTCTGGCTCCATTTTATGACACGACACACCCATGTTTGCTGCATTTCAAAGATCACTGATAAAGGGAATCATGTGTTAAATGAAGGCTTTATGTGTCTATCTGGGAGGGGGAGTTCAAGTTCCTGTTATGTCTCCTTGTGCGACATAACCTTCCTATTGGGTTTGTCCGGACATGGAAACATGGATGGGTCAGTGCAGCTGTCCTGAGACTCAGGGCCCGGGGCATCTAGTCCTTGCCAGGTCAGCAGCTCCCGGCCCCACTCGGAGGCCAGCGAGGCATCCCTGAGTCTGTTTACACGCCTGCCACAGCTGCTGCTTCCCTTCAGGTATGGCGTGGCGGTGCAGGACTTTGCAGGCAGCTGGCGGAGCGGGCTGGCTTTCCTGGCTGTGATCAAGGCCATCGACCCCAGCCTGGTGGACATGAAGCAGGCGCTGGAAGACTCCATGCGGGAGAATCTGGAGAAGGCTTTCAGCATCGCACATGATGCCCTTCACATCCCTAGGCTCCTGGAGCCAGAAGGTAGCAGCGGTTCTCTCTCTTTCTCTTTCTTCATAATTTGTTTTTAACCTGTAACACCTTCTGTCCACATGGGAATTCTGGAGAATACAGAAACATCTAATGAAGTCATTTTTATATCTCCTGTATTCCTGCCACTGACATCATTTCCCCAGTGTTTTTCCTTATATCTAAATACAATTTTTTAATGTAATTGGGATCATTCAGTGTATGTATGACTTTGTCTCTTCCTTTTTTTTTCCTTTAAGGATTTTAGAACTTTTATTTTATTGTGAAATATATCACGCATGTAGCAAAATGCAGGAAACAAGCATGCATTTTTGTGATTCTGTGATAATCACGTGTGAACATCTGCGTGGCTACCAACCAAGTTCACAGCCTGCAGCCTCCTGTGCTTCTTTCCATCACTACCCATTTTCTGTTTAATTGTCAAGACGTCTCATATCATTTTGATTTTTTTATGTTCCTCCTCTACTACTTTCTTTTGTATTAAACAAGCATTTCTACTTTTTTAAAAAAAAGTTTTTGTAAAAAAACCTTTATTTTATACTGGTTAGCAAATAATTAACAAATAATATTGTGATAGTTTCAGCTGCAAAAGGGACTCAGCCATACATATACATGTATCCATTCTCCCCCAAACTCCCCTCCCATCCAGGGTACCACATAACGTGTATCTTCCTTTTTTTAACTTAAACATTCTAATTGTGACATAAGTATTTTGCATGCTGCTAGGATGCCTTCATTATATGTTTTTATTGGCTGCATAATGGTCCATCTAGTGGACATACCAAAGTGTACTTAACTCTTTACCACTGGTGGATGTTGAGGTGGTTTTGGAATAGTCTTGTGTATAATGCTGCAATGGACATCTTATAAGATAAAGTTCAGTGTGCGTCTTAGATTATTTCCTCCAGGACCAGGTCCCATCTCTGGAATGACGCAGCTAGAAAGTACACACCTTTTTAAGGCACTTGGTTATCTCTATCAAACCATATTCCATGTGGGTCAGGCTTATTTAGGGTTCTCTCTGGCAGTGTGTAAGGGTCTCAGCTCAACAGACTCACTGATGGGATGGGCAGTGAACTGGCTACTCACAGGGAAGGACTCGGACAGCAGGGAATAACAGAATCTTGGGTACAGGAGTCTTGGATTCTCCATCCCAGCTTCTCTGCTCATCAGCCAAGTGTGAGGCTTCACTACTCAAATCATCCCCCTTCCCTTAAAGGCCTTAAATTTCCTGATGTGTGAAATAAAGAGAAAAAACCCTCTCTGGTCTGTGGGATCTTTCACCGTGAAGCATCCCAAGATCCCATGTGAAAATTCTGTGTTCTTTTTGTGGTAATGTAAACTGGTACAGCTCTTATGGAAAACTGCATGGAGAGCCCTCAAAAAATTAAAAAAGACAATCATGTGGTCCAACAAACTCTCTCTTGTTGTTCAGTCAATCAGTCGTGTCCGACTCTGCAACTCCACTGACTGCAGCGTGCCAGGCCTCCCTGTCCCCCGCTGCCTCCCAGAGTTTGCCCAAGTTCATATCCATTGAGTCATGGACAGGACTATCCAACCATCTCTTCCTCTATCACCCCCTTCTCCTCCCCCGCTCAATCTTCCCCAGCATCGGGGTCTTTTCCAGTGAGTAAACTGTTTGCATCAGGTGACCAAAGTATTGGCAAACCTTCTGCTGAACATATGTTCAAAGGAAATTAAACTTAAAGGAAACAAGCTTGTGAATTCCCTGGTGATCCAATGGTTAAGACTTGGCGCTTTCCCTGCCGTGGACCAGAGTTCAGTCCCTGGTCAGGGAACTAAAATCCCATAAGCTGCACAGTGCAGACAAGAAAAAAGCCAGAAAACCCCCAAAACAAACAAAATAAACAAAATCAAAGGAACGGAAATTGCAGTCTTGAAGAAATATCTGCACACTAGTGTTCATTGCAGCATTATTCACAGTAGCCAAAGCATAGTAACAACCTAAGTGTCCATCAGTGGATGAATAGATAAAGAAAATGCCATGTGTATACAATGAGATATCATTCAGCCACAAAAAGAAGAAAATTCTGCCGTTGGTAACAACACGAATGAACCTGGAGGACATTATGCTGAAATAGGCCAGACACAGAAAAATAAATACTACATGATCTCATTTATATGTGGAAGCTAAAAAAGTGAAACTCACAGAGCCAGAGAGTATAATGGTGGTTACCAGGAGCTGGGGGTTGATAGTGGAGTGGAAAAAGTAGAGAAACATACAAACTTTCATAAGTTCTGGCAAGTCTAACATAAATATAGTGACTGTAGTTAATAACACTGTATTGTCTACTAGAAATTTGCTCAAAGAGTAGATCTTAAGTTTTCTCAGCACATCAAAATAAGGTAACTGTGAAATGATGGATGTGTGAATTAACTCAATTGTGAGAATCATTTTGCAATATCTATGTATATCAAATGATCATGTTGTACACCTTAACTATATACAATTTTTATTTGTCAATTATACCTCAATAAAACTGGAAAAATTTAAAAATTTAAAAAATTTAAAAATAAATAAAATAAAACCTGTGTTTTGCATGTCCTTCTAACTCCTGTGTTTCTCTTAACAGACATCATGGTTGACACACCAGATGAGCAGTCCATCGTGACTTATGTGGCTCAGTTTCTAGAACATTTCCCGGAGTTGGAAGCCGTATGTCTGTTTTCCTTACCTATAATTCAGAAACTGTATATTTCCATCAGCTGACCATGGGATGAAGCTGGTGTTCGAGCTGTGTGACAGCTGTAATAATTGAATCTCTATCTCATGTGCCTTGCCACATTTTGATTCCAAAATCATCGCTAATGTGTGCACCATTAAAAAGCAGAATGGGAAGTCAGGCACACCTCTCACAAACCTCTCCCCATCCCAAACTTTTAAGATTAGAAGAGATGCCCGCTTGTTATATGAATCAGCTACTTGATTTTCTAGATATCAGATGGGACATTTTAGCAGCCTACCAGATTTTATCAGAGTGTGAAAAAATTTTAAAGACAATGACCAAGCACATATTTTTAATTTTTAGAATCTGAGCATACTTGGTGACTGATTTTTTGGAGCAGAATCAGACCTTTTAGAAGTTGTCAATACTCTGTTGAACCTCCAGCCAATCCATGCCCAAGCCTGGGATTGTAATAATAATGATCACAACAGTAACGATGATCCTTTATTGGAAAATTACTTTATTGGAACACCCATGGCTGGATCTGGGAAACTGAACAGTAAATGAGATGGATGAGGTCCGTGACTGTGTAGCTTTGTTCTAATAGAGAAAACAGGTGACAAGTCAACAAACACATTGTTGTTTCAGGTAGTTAGAAATACTAGACTCCCCCCCCGCCCCCCCCGCAAAAAAAAAAAATCATACAGAACTAATACTCACAGGAGGGATAGGCTGCTCTTTTAGCTGGAGGCTTGTCAGGTCAGCATCCTGTGTGTCTCTGGGCTGACTGCCACCCCTGCAATCCCACTTGACTCTGTATCATTTTCATTTTGTAGAAGAGAAAGTGCGTGCTCAAAGAGGCTAACAGACCTCTCCAGGGTTGCCCAGCTGCCCAGCGCAGAGCTGGGGTTTGATCTCAGTTCTTTTCCAAAGCTCAGGCATTTAGATTTCTTACAACATATGCCTAAAACTGAGACCTCATTTTGCCCAACTCAGAAGAGCCAGGCTGGATTCTTTCCAGGCTTCTTATGTGTGTGATTCCCATCTGTTTCTGGACCACAGATCACTTTCCAGGGTGCTTTAGAAGCAGGCATTCCATGGGCTGGAATGTCAGTTCTGCCACTTGAAGCTTGGTGACCTTGAGCTGTTTACTTAATCTCTCTGATACATGTCTGTATGAGATGCCATCTGTAAAATAGAAATATGACCCACATTTTCAGGGTTATATGAAGAGTAAAGAGATATTGTAAAGTCCTGTGCTTGGGACAGCAGTTGACGCTCAGGAAATGATGGTAATGCCATCCTTTAGTTTAATCTTCATTATGAAGTTCGGAAATACTAGGGACCAGAGCTTTTATTAGCCCTGAGCTCTTCAGCCTAGGCAGAGTTTGAAATCAACTAAAATTTATGATGTGTGTGTGAGTCAAAGTCATAGCTTGGATTCAGCGAATCTGACACTTGGATCTCCCCAGGGCTGGGGTCAGAGACTGGGGCTAGGGAAGGAGGGGTCAAGCAAGATAGAACATGGTGAAAGGCCCCCTGACCCACACAGCACAGGGCATCCCCTCAGCACAGTCCGTTTGCATCCACAGGGGATACAGAGTCATCCCAGCTGATCTAGATCCCTGTTGAACTGTTGTTTTTTTAAGTTTCATAATTCAGCTGACTGTAGTACACTTTAATAAATATTCATTAAGCCCTGGTCATGTGCCAGACACTGTGCCTGGCTTTATGCCCTGACATATGGTTTATTTGGGTAAATGTACCATATGCATTTGAAAAAATGTGTCTTGTACAGTGAAAGCATCAACAGTCCAATTAAGTTGAGTTGGTTACTATGCTGTTCTAATATTCCAGAGACATGCCAATTTTTTTTGCTTTTCCTACCAATGAATGTGAGGGAGAAAAGTTAAAAGTCTCTGACTTATGATTGTGACTTTATTGTTCTTCTTAGTTCTGTCAAATTTTGCTTTGTGTGTGTGGAAGCTATGCCATAAATGCATATACATTAAGGATTGTTGTGTCTTTTTGATGAGGTCATCATTTTACTTTTGTTTCATTTCACCGTGGAGTAAATTTGATAGGAATATAGGAACTATTATAAGTTAGTATTTGTATGATTTATCATTTTCTATTAATATCTTTCTCCTTTCAGTGTACCCATGCTTATATTTAAAGCATCTTTTTTGTAAAAATACTATAGTGTTGGGTCTTGTTTTTTATCCATTTTGACAAGAATTATTAGTGTTTCACTTTATTTGCCCGTGTACATAGATGTAATCTACCATCATACTGTTGTTTTCCACTGGTCCTCTCTGTTCTATGATGCTTTGTTCTTCCTTTCTCATTTTTTTTTGGATTGTTCAATTGTTTTTTGGTTTCCATTTTACCTCCTCTGTTGGCTTTTTAGCCACATCTGTTTGTTTTGTCTTTTTAGTAGTTTTCCTAGGGATTATAATACTCATCTTGAACATACCTCAGTCTACCTTGGATTACTATTAGCTAACTTTGATTTTTTGATTTGGCTGCGTCGGGATCTTCACTGCATCATGGGGGATCCTTTGTTGAGGTGCATGCACTGTAGTGGTGATGCGCAGGCTCAGTGGTTGTGGCACACGGGCCCCAGAGCACACTGGCTCTATAGTTGTGGCTTGCACGCTTAGCTGCCCCTCAGCTTGTGGGATCTTAGTTGCCTAACATTGCCTAAGTTTCCAGCGATTAAACTCACATCCCCTGCATTGCAAGGCAGATTCTTAACCTCTGAATCCCCAGAGAAGTCCCTCATTGTACATTTTATATATTTTGTATATTTTTGTATATGCAGCTGTTTGATCCCACTCACTTTTCTTCTCCTTTCCTTTAGCAATTATTGCCATTTGCTTTGTTTCTGTATATTGTAATTCCCCATGGTTTGCTATTATCTTTTCTTTAAGCTGGAGACTTTTTAAGAAAACTTGTAAGATCATTTTATATCGGTCACAGATTTACCATTTTAAGTACTTCTCATTCCCCTATTCCAGATCTAGGCTTTCATCTGTGATCGTTTCCTTTTAGCCTGAAGAATGACCTTTGTGTTTCTTTTAGTGTAGGATAAACAGTTGTTTTACAGTCTTTATGCTAATTCCAACCCTGGGTTATCTTTGGGTCTGCTTCTAATGACTCATGTTTCTCTTGATTATGGATCTCTTTGTTTGCTTCTTTGTATCTTAAAATTTTAAATTTTATGCCATATCTGATATGTGATGAGGTACATGATATTTCCCCCACCGCCACCCCCAGAGAATGTGACCCTTCCCCAAACAAGGACCTGTGACCAGGAGCTGACCATTTTGACCTTCTCAGAACTTGATAGGGACTCTGTTGCAGTTTTATTTAATTTCCACCCTCTGGTTTCAACTAGTTTTAGAATGAGGTCAATCCACTCTCCCCACCAGTGCATTGGGAGCCAAGCACTGCAAAACCACCAAGATTGCTCTCTACTTTCAGCCCTGCTCTCAGCTACATCTTTTTTTAAAATTGAAATATAATTGCTTTACAATGTTGTGTTAGTTTCCTATATACAGCAAAGTGATTCAGTTATGTATGTATATGGATCTCTGTACAGACATATTCTTTAAATTCTTTGCCATTATGGTTTATTATAAGACACTATAGTTTCCTATATTAAGTGCTATAAAGTAGATCCTGTTGCTTATCTATTTTATATATAGTAGTTTGTATCTGGTAATCCTAAATTCCTAATTTATCCCTCCCCCACTTTCCTCTCTGGAAACCATGAGTTTGTTTTCTGTGACTGTGGGTCTGTTTCTGTTTTGTAAATGAGTCCATTTATATAACACTTGAGATTATACATATAAGTGGTATCATATAGTATTTGTCTTTCTCTGCCTTTGCTTAATATGATAATGTCTAGGTCCATTCATGTTGCTGCAAATAGCATTATGTCATTTGTTTTTATCGCTGAGTCGTATTCCATTGTACAGATGTACAATGGAATGTACACATGAGGATGTACATGGAATGTACCACACCCTCTTTATCCATTCATCTGTCTATGGACACTTAGGTTGCTTCTGTGTCTTGGCTTCTGTAAATAGTTCAGCTGCGCTGTGCTTAGCAGGAGTCCCTGTGTGGGAAAACTAGTACATGAAGAGAAGTGGTTTTTCCTGTTTGAGGCCCTTCCAGATTCAGTCTCTCACACCAGCCCAACAATCATAAAGATTTAGCTGCTCTTTCCTTATCTTAGGTGGGTTCACTTATTAGTCCGTATACCCAGACCAGGCGGTGGCCCACAGGTATGAGGTCGCCGACGATCTCCTCTCTTAGAAAGGGCCCACCCTTCTCCAGAGTTCAGTTCATTGAGATGTCTTAGCAGCCATAGCTTCGAAAATGACCTTCTCTTTAACTTACCTGATGGTTTCACATTTCAGCAGTAACAGTAGTCATTTGCCCATCTGCAGCGATATCAGAACCCTTCCATTCATTCTGAAGTGCTCTTGCTTGTTTGTTGTTGTGTTTTGAGAGGGGACTCTGCGTGGCACTTAGACGCTGCTCATTTCATGGCGCCCTGTGTTTCTTGGCAGGAGGATTTTGTGGATTCCGACAAAGAAGCCCCTATCGAATCCACCTTCGTTCGCATCAAAGAAACCCCTTCGGAACAGGAGAGTGCCGTCTTCCTTCTGACCGAGGACGGGGAGCGAGCCTACACCGTCAACCACGAGGCCAGCCACCCGCCTCCTTCCAAAGTCTTCGTCTGTGACAAGCCTGAGGATGTGGAGGAACCCTGCCTGGGTGGCGTGTCCAGCCAGGAGCTGGTGGACAGCTCCTCCAAGTTCATGAACCAGATCATCGAGCAGGTTCTCCAAGGGATCCCCGGGAAGCTCAACAGCACCAGTGAGCCGGCTCCAGAATCTTCCATCCTATCATCCCGAAAGGACAGCCAGAGGTCCAACTCTCTGCCGATCAAGAAGACGGTGCACTTTGAGGCCGACACCTACAAGGATGCCTCCTGCAGTCAGGACCCTTTCTACAGCGCGGACCTGCACTTTGAAGGGAGCCCTGGAGAGACCAAGGAGTCGTCCAAGCAGGATGAACAGGTCTTGGTGGCTGATGTTGCTGAAGAAACACCAAAACAGGAGGTGCCGGACATCCTGGAAGAAGCAGCCTCCGACAAGGTCCCTGACGACGTGTCCTCAGTGGATGGCGAGATCAGTCATCCTCCCACTTCCCAGACCTCTCCCCCCTGGAATGGGGCATCGGAGAGGGCATCCAGCCCTGGGGACGAAGGCCATCTCCCCTCACCGCTGGGAGAGAACACCGTTATGGCCAATGCCTTGGAGATCAAGGTGAAACTGCTGATGGTAGAAGCGATGGATAAAGAAGACTATTTTGAAGCCATACCATTAAAAGCCTCAAAGTTTAACAGCGACCTCGTCGATTTTGCCTCCACCAGCCAGGCTTTCAACGAGGTTCCTTCGCCTCATGAGAAAAAACCTGCAGAGCAGGAGGTGTCGGAGGATCACCCTGAGAGGTTGGGCAAACGGAGAGGGAAATCCGCCCGCAAGAATACAGATTCGGATGAGGCCCCAGTGGAGCTCGACCAACCTGACCCTCACAAGGACCCTGGAGACCAAGACCAAGGCTATTCTTTGGCCCCCGAGGAGGCCCCGGTGGATAAAAAGCGAGAGGCGTATGAGAAGGCCAAGCGCAAGTCCTTCCGACGCTGCCGTCGGGGAGAGGAGGAAGGGGAAGCCGAGTGCCTCCGGGGGCTCGGGGGAGAATTGCCTTCCAACCCGCCGAGCAGCAGCATCAGCTTGGAGACCCTCCACAGCCCCAGCGAGGAGGGCCTGGACTTCAAGCCATCTCCCCCGCTCTCCAAGATTTCCGTCATCCCTCACGATCTTTTCTACTACCCACACTACGAGGTGCCCCTGGCGGCGGTTTTGGAGGCTTATGCAGAAGGCTCGGAGGATTTGAAAAACGAAGAGATGGACCTGGAAGAACCGGAGGGCCATCTGCTGGACCTGGGGGCCAGGGAGGATGAGGCCGAGGAGTCTGAGGCCTCCCAGAGCAGCTTCAGCTTCTCCGGGCTGGGCAAGGACCTCCCCCAGGCCAGCATCACAGAGGATGCCAGTCCCGCCTCGGAACCCTCTCCCCCACCCTCACCTGAGGACCACCAGCAAAGGGAGGCCGAAGATAGCATCCCTGTGCAGGGCCGTCAGGTATGTGACTATGGAGTTGGGAACCCTGCGTGGGGAATTCTGTGCTTCTCCCAAATTCCCTTTGTGTGTGCGTGCTAAGTTGCTTCAGTCGGGTCCGACCCTGTGTGACCCTATGGACTGTAGCCCGCCAGGCTCCTCTGACCGTGGGATTCTCTAGGCAAGAATACTGGAGTGAGTTGCCATTTCCTTCTTCTAAACTCCCCTTCTTCCTCTATAAAACGGAGGAATGCAGCTTCCCGCACGGGCATCCCAGGTCCAGAATTTAGGGAGAAATTTACTCCAGGCTCAGGCAAGGGCAGGATGAGCACCTGAGAGGGACACTGGTCCAGTTTGGCACCCTGGGCACCTTGCTGGCCTCCCCGTGGTCCTGGCCCTGCCCACAGGCTGCCTGGAAGACCAGTTGAGGTCATGCCTCGGGGGAGGGGGCATTCCAGCATCGCGATAGCAGAAATGCTTTTCAGTAGTAATCACAGCTCTGCCTCCTGCACTGAGTCGACTACAGACCCTTTTCCTCCAGCAGCCGGCAAAACCAAACCAGACCTCACCCTGGACCCCAGCCTCGATGTTTCAAGGCCTGTTATCTGTTTGACACGATAGTTTGGCTCCTGCGGTTAGAAGTGGGTTGTATAAACAGGGCCGGGGGGGACACTCACGTCTGAGCTGGAGCAGCCACATGCTGTCTGCTACCTCGAGTCTGCCTTCATGTGGCCCAGCAGCTCTAGAGGGGCCGCCAGAGTGAGCGGTGAGAGGGTGCAGGGGACCCTTCTCCTCCTGCCCCTCCAGACACAGCTGCCTCTCCCCCGCCTCCCAGACACTCCTTTGCCTCCAGGCTTTGCTGGGGTTGCTCCCCTATCTGGAGGCCTTTGCTTACCACCTACCACCTTTGTGTGTGTGTGTGTGTGTGTGTGTGTGTGTATGTGTGTGTGTATGTGTTCACATGCTCAGTTGCTCAGTCATGTTGGACTCTTTTCGGGTCTCATGGGTCGTGATTTTCTCTCCCAGTAAAGAGGGAGCATTTGTGTATTCATCTCTGGGCTCCAGAGGCCAGCCCGACAGGGCCTGCAAAGCCACAGTCAAGGTGCACTGAATGGCAGGTTGGGGTGTTCTGTGAGGACAGGTAAATTAAACCCTGAGATGATGGAGAGTCGAGACAGGATCCAGTGAGGGCCCAGAGGTGCTCAGAGCAGCAAGAAAGCCTTGCCCTCCGGGGAGGCTGCAGAAGGGGAATCTGAGTAACCTTAAAACACAGGGGGCTTCCCTGTTGGCTCAGCGGTAAAGAACCTGCCTGCAACGCAGGAGACCCAGGTTCGATCCCTGGGTCAGGAAGATCTTCTGGAGGAGGGCACACAACTCACCCCAATATTCTTGCCTGGAGAATGCCACGGACAGAGAAGAGCCTGGTGGGCTACAGTCCATAGGGTCGCAGAGAGTCGAACACGACTGAAGTGATTGAGCACGCGCGCACGCAGAGGACATTTAGGGGACTCTCCCAATGGTCCAGCGGCTGGAACTCCAAGCTCCCAGTGCAAGGGGCCTGGTTTCCATCCCTGGTCAGGGAACTAGATCCCACATGCCGCAACTAAGTGTTCGTACGGTGCAACTAAAGATCTCGCGTTCCACAACTAAGGCCCAGAGCAGCCAAGTAAATTAATTAATTAATTTTTAAAAACAAGACATTTAGGGTTTAGATGGGCCAGAAGTGATAGCGTCATCTGTGGCTTTGCCAACTCCAGACAGTGGAGGAGAGTCCCCGCCTGAGCGCGGGAGGGGGAACAGGGTTCTCTGGCCCTGACGGCGTAGAAGCCAAGCTTGGCCAGACCTCCTTGGGGCCAAGCGCCCACTCTCAGTCTTTGGCTAGAGGAGAGGGTTGGGTGGCTCCATTAGGTGTCAGTGATCTGTCTGCCACCTTAGGGAGAGGAGCCCAGTCCTGCCTTCCTGCCCCTCCCCGTCTGTCTGCTATCTGTCAGAGCAGGCTCGTCCTGTGGGAAACCCCAAAAATCCTGCGGGGTAGGAAATGCCCCTCAGTAGGTCTCCAGATCCCCAGGCTGGGGATGACAACAGCAATGGGATGATTCTCTGAACCATTAGGGGCCGCACATTGCTTTTAGAGCAAAAGAAAGGGGACCGAGTGGGTGGTGTGAAGAGGGCCTGAGTTGCCTCTCTGCCCCTCGGGGTGACTTAAAACAGCTAATGAGGGGACGTCCCTGGCGGTCCAGTAGTTAAGAATCTGAGCTTCCAGTGCAAGGGATGTGTGTTCAGTCCCTGGTCGGGGAACTCAGATCCCACAGCCTTGCTGCACGACCAAGAACATTTTTTAAAAAAAGGTTGGAAAATGACTAATAAGCACCTCAGTCTCCTCCCCCAGTGACTGAGTGGAGACATGTAGATGAGGTACTTCACTGTCTTCTGCTTCCAAAGGTAGGCTTTGCGCCTGTGTGTGTGGCCAGCATGTGAACAGATGGTTTGGGACAAGGTTGGAAGAGTCCTGGACTGGGAAGGGCTTCGGGAGATCGAGGTTTGCATCTGTTTTACGCTGAGCTGCGGGAGGGCTTGGGGAGAGCTTGCATTTCTGGGTTCCGGGGTGGGCACCAGCCTGCATCTCTCATCACTGGACTGCTTCTTCCGGTGCTTACCTGTCCGGCCAGCAGGTGCCCACTCCTCCCAAACACACCTTGTAATTGGCTCCCAAGTGTATGTAACCCAGGCCTTGATCCCAGCGAGTGAGCAGGGCCGGGGGAGGGGAAGCGGTGAGGCCCAGGATGACAGGTGAGGTCTGGGAGTCTTGTTTCCTGACAGAGAGGATGACATGGATGAAAAATTTCTCCCATACCCAGCCTTCCTTTAAAAAAAAAAAAGGAAAAAACTGTCTTCTAAACAGACTAGAAAATGGCAAGTTCTGGCTTCTAGTCTTTAAGAAAATCAGTCCTCTCCTCATTTCACTTTTCAGAAAGGTAGCATTTGCTCACTGATGATGGAGGAGGAACTGGCGTTTCAGACTGCTGAGAGCGGGCTTAATTTCTGCAGGGAGCTTTGTTCTCATGGGCTGCCTGAGTCTGGCCACTCTGATACTCTTATTAGAATACCTGTTGAGCAAGTTTTTCCAGCCCCAGTCGGAATTCTTGAGAGGTATAGCCAACAATTCCCACGCTTCTTAATTTCATGTGAGAGCATTCCTCGTGGGTTTCAGAGAGCCTAGTTGGGCCGGTGGGCAAAGAATCTTCCTTATTATGTAAATGCAATAGAGGTTGCGCTGCCATCCACCTTTGGCCAAAAGTACAGTGAAGACTCATCTCCTCAAACACAAGGGCCACCTTCGCAACCCTTGGCCCACCTGGCGTCCAGTACTTGTTCTTCTGTTTAAGTGGATGATGGTTGTGTGAAGGGTCTAACCATTGCCCTCTGTGAGGGATGTCCTTTAGAGGAACCACAGTGGTATAAGCACTTTATAAGAGGCTGATAATTATTATACCCATTTGACAGACAGAGAAACTGAGGATCAAAGGGATCAAGTCAGTTACTCAAGGTCAGATAACTGACTTAGCCAAGATTTGAAAGCAGGTCTTACTGACGGTAAAACCCATGCTGTTTTGATCCATCAATCTGGAGCATTTGGAACTCTGCACAGGGAGCAGGAATTCTGGCAGGCTTCTCCTCCGCGCTGGACTGTGCTGGAAGGACCCCACAGGAGCGGCCAGATTGGAGGGGGCACCTTAGCTGGGCCTTGGAGTGAAGGTGGAGTGGGTTGCTGCTGGATGGTGTCACGCACTCCACGTTGCGGCATAAAATGCTGACTTGTATTTGGTTGTTTTGTCCTTCAGTCCCAGGAATTCCCAAACTCGGAAAATGTAGCCAGCCCCTTAGAGGAAAAGGTAATGGAAGAATCGATCAGCAGTAAAAAAAAGGAGAAAAGGAAACATGTGGACCACGTAGAAAGCTCAGTATTTATAGCACCTGGAACTGTTCGCTCCTCAGATGACCTGGAAGAAGACACCGGTGACCACAAAGTCCTTTCCAGGTATTTTATTAACACCTTCTCGCCCCAGAGCCCCAGCCTGGGGAGCTACTCTCTAATCTCATCCCATTTCCGGTTTCTGATTGGATGGGGATGCGGGGGCAGGGCTGGACAGCAAGGGAAACAGATTCAGATAAAGTGCTCCTTCTCCACACCTGGGCTCCCCCAAGGACTCACCTCAAAACCAGGAGGACCTGCAGCTCACCTCTTCTCACCTCCAGCAGCTTTGAGTGGAAACGGGCAGTGAGCAGAGAGGTGGCTGAACTGGAGGTAGGGGTGGGGATGAGAGGTAATAGACTTGACCCTGCCAGCCTTAGCCCATGATAACTACCAGTCAATGTAGGTAGAGATCAAACTTAGCCATTTGGGAGCATCTTACAGAATCAGAAGGGATGTACTGCATATGCGTGGAGGGAACCATTTATCCCTGTTGCATGGAAGCTGGACTTTAATATGACAGCTTCACCCACGAGTTTGGATCCAAGGCAGTAAGGATGGTCGATTTACCCCAGGGGAGGAGGAGGCAGGGAGGATGATGAACTTAAACTGCTAGGAAGCCTGTAGCACACATCTGCTCTGTCACTCCGAGGCTGCTGGATGGGCCGGATTATTCCCAGGGAAAATATTTAACTGCTGAATGTCAGAAGACCCTGGTCTCTCCCCATCATCACTCATCATCACATTTGCCTTCACCTTGTACCAGCCCTTGCGTGTTCAGGCATTTCCCTTACATTGGTTCATCAATTCTCGTGGGCACCCCGATAGGCAGGCAGGTGAGATTGGGCATCATTAGGAAGCTTGGGGGGTACCTCCCAGCTTAGGAGATACCAAGGGACCCAGACCTGTCAGAGGTCCTCGCTCCTTCCGTGACCCCACGTTGCCTGTGCTGGGTAAGCTATGCTGGCCACAAAGGGAAATGTTTGAGACAATCATTGGGGGAGTGAGGGGGTCTTTAAGCCCATACAGGAAGAGCCAGGGAGTGGGGGTGTCCAATGCCCTGCTTCCCACCTCCCGTCCACCTGGCTCCCATGTTGGGTTTTGGGGGACAAAGAGCAGATGGGAGCCCAGGGGAGGAGGCATAAGGCACAGTGGGAGGCAGCTGCCAACTGCTGCCAGCTGCAATGGGAGGGGCCACTAGTCAGATGCCAGGCTGCTCCCCTTCTCCCTAAGCAGGCCAGGCCTTAGCAGTCTTTGAGTCGTCACGTTTGTGTGATGGAACCCGCTAGACTTGGGGACTCTGGAAGAGGCCGGCCACGGCTCTGCCCTCCAGGAGCCCCCAGCTGGAAGGAGACAGGGAGTGCTCCCTCTATCCTGCTGGGACTGGGTGGGCATCTTGGGTGTGAGAGGCAACTAGGGATTTATGATGAGACCTCAGAGGGGGCAGAGAGGGTCAGGGTAGCCTAGGTGCTGAGAGTTCATTTGAATTCAGCATCAAGGGATGAGCAGGACTTGCATTTGGGAGAGGGAGAGAGCTGTTGGGACAAACAGCCTGAGCAAGAACTGGCACATAATAGGCATCTCAGGAAGTATTCATCGAATGAGAGGGTGCGGGAGGAGACACAGGGAGCGTGGGGGTGGGGAGGAGGCGAGCACCTTGTTCGTCCCTCTTCATCAGAAGGACCAGGAAAACCTGCCCCATGGAGATAGATGGGACTGGGGGAGGGATACGGAAAAGTCAGCCGACGTTTCAGTGTCTGTGAGCATGAGGCTGGGTTGACCTTTCGATGCAAGGGTTTTACTCTGATCTCTCAGCTCCTCCAGCCCATCTCACGTAAGCAACGCTATAACCGTGATGCATCGTCTTAGCCATGGTGGAAGCTAAATACCTAATGTCATCAGATAACATGGAGGGGCGCTCATGCGTGTGAATGAACTTGGACTCCGGTCCTGTGCTCAGGGCCACCTCACCTCGCCCCCCCCCCACTCCCTGACCCTGACTCCAGAGCACTGATCAGGGAGGTCATTGCCTGGCTGAGGCTTAGGAAAGGAGCAGAGCCCTGGGCATCTATCTCTGTGCCCAGGGACGGCACAGGGTATTTTCCTGGCTGTTGGTCACCCCCGTGGCTCCCCATTGGTCTAGACAGAAAGGCCACTCGCCCAGAGCCTGCAGGACCCCTCATGGCTCATCTCTCAGCCTCATCTCTGTCCACCCTCAGTCACCCTCTTCCCCATCTCCAGTGCACCAACCACCCTGGCCTTAGTTGAGGTCCTGGAATGCCCCCAGCCCATCTCCTTCACCTTTAAGGATCCTTCTGTCCCCCACCTGTCTCCTGCCTTGCTCCCTTGAGTCTCAGCCCCACTACCACTTCCTCCAGGCAGCCCTCCTGGATTTCTCCAGGCTATTTTTGATAGCCCTTTATATGTTCTCTTAGCTTCTGTTCTCTTTCTTCACAGCACTGATCAAAGCAGTCATTTCTATAATAATACATGGAAGGATGTGTTTATCATCTACTCTCCCCCTAGATTGTCAGCCAGCTCCAGCCAGCTAGGACCAGTATGGTTCTAGCGTTTAGCACAGCACCTGGCTTGCATTAGGCATTCAAGGAATAAAAGTTCCTTGTTAGGGGGCAGGAGGTAGGGAATGATAAGGAGTGGGCGTGCTCTCTCATTACAATGTGGTCTCCTGGAAGAGCAGGTTCTTTGTTGTTGTTTTTTTTCCTGTTGGTACATTTTGTTTCATTTCTGTGCTGTGATACCAGCCAGGAGAAACTAACACAGACTTTAAATTGAGGATGAAGACTGAAGTTTCCCTAGGCCTAGCCCCGCACCTGGCACACAGAATGTGCTCAAAACCTGTTAGCTGGAAACGTGCCACCCGCAGAAAGGGAAGAGCTTGGTGATGTTTAGGGGACAGCCATGAGCGGGAATAGCAAGGCTGACAATAATGGGAATAAACTCTTCCCTGGACCCCACAATGCCATGTAGTAGGTCTGCCTTGAGGAAACTGATGTGATGGTCTCTATATCAGGCAGTCCACATCCAACGCCTCATTCTTCTGTTGAGCAGCAAGACAGGACCACTTTGCCCTATGGAATGCTTGTATCCCTGACAACTCCAAGAAGCAGATGGGGTGGGAATGATGATCCATTTCACAGAAGAGGAAAACTGATCAGAGGTGTAACTATTTGACTATGGTTAATCAACTATTTGACTATGGTCAATCATCCAGGATAAGAACCGAGACCTCTGGCTGGGTGTCTTTTTTGCGTTAGCCCTGAGTGAACCATAAGGTTGATGTCATCTGCATATCTGAGGTTATTGATATTTCTCCTGGCAGTCTTGATTCCAGCTTGTCCTTCTTCCAGCCCAGCATTTCTCATGATGTACTCTGCATTTAAGTTAAATAAGCAAGGTGACAACATACAGCCTTGACGTACTCCTTTCTCTATTTGGAACCAGTCTGTTGTTTCATGTCCAGTTCTAACTATAGTGAAGCAGCTTCATTAGAAGATCAGAGATACTTCCCACATCAGCCTCACAGATATAGTTAGAAAATCCACTGCCTCCTGTATGAAAGGAAATGAGGCGGTCCAGACCTGGGAGTCCTCAGCATCATGCACGGAGCACTGCAGAGGGAGTCCGGATCCCAGGACCCAGTTTGGGTCTGACTTTAGCTTGCAGACGACGTCTGCTGAGTCCCACAATTGGGGGATATTTGGAAAAAGAAATCTTCCCCTGCTCTGAAATCCTATGATTTTTAAGAATATGTGGTCTGCTTTCTATTTGAAATTATTTTCACTTTTTTTTTTTTCTTGTCAATGAGGGCTCAGTGTGTCTCTTTCATATCATCCTGCTGTTTTTAAGCACGCATACTGGATAATGGGTCATTTCCATCACTAGGTCTGAAGTCAGAGCTTGCCTAAATCCACATGTGGTGGCCTCGGGAAGGGGGCAGTGAGGAGTTCTTGGTGGCATCAATTCAAAACATGTGTTTATTTTTCAGGACGAGTCACAGTGACTCCAGCATTTACATTCGACGACATACTAATAGATCTTTGGAATCGGTTAGTATGTGAATTTCTTCTTCTCGCATCCGGCCCCTGCTAATCAATTCCTTTCCCTCCTTCCTTCCCCCCAGCCCAGAGCTTTGAAATTACTGACGTGCAACAGCTATGCTTTTGGATAGAAGACAAGCAAATTGAAACCTTGTCGTTAAGCACAGTCCAGTCAGATGTCCAGTTTGGGCATTAGGGGATGTAAATAAAGTGATGATTTTAAAGCCCAAAGGCCTCTTTGTCATAACAATCGTATCCAAGACCTCCCACCCCACCCCTGCACACACATCCATAAAGATCACGTTCAAAGACAGAGATGCAGCCTGAGCAGAGGGTTCCCTTTGTCTTCACAACTGCTTAGCTCTGCATGTGTTGGGCCCCCAAAAGCCCGGGGATCCGTAGCTTGCCCCAGTTGTGGGGGGTGGGGCCTCTTCCATCCACCCGTGGGAGTAATCTGTAGAACATTGCTTAGTAGTTTTATTTTGGAACTAGATGTTTGCAAGATTGAGAAAAGCATGGCATGCTCGACTTTGTATATTTAAAATCATCTTATTTTCTGTTTCAGAGATTTCATCTTTACTAATTGGGTTGCGGGGGTTTTGTTTATAAATTTCACTGTAGGATCATTTTAGCTATGTTCAATTGAGGAATGCAGCAGATGTGGATGACAGAAGAAACCGAATGTTAACCAGGTGGGTGGCTGGACTACAGGCTCGGTAGGGTTTAAGGGATTTTTTTTTCTTTAATCACACAGTCTACCTTCTGGGGGTGGCTATTCTCCAACTAGGGCTTTGTTGGATAATAATATTAATAGTCTAGGAACATGCAAGAAAATACCTGTTTCAGAGAAAATGAATGGAAATTGAATGTGAGTGGGAGGGCAATGTAGATATGAATCCAGGTTGACAAGCAGGGCACAGTTCAGAAAAATGACTTGGTTTAAAGACACGTCTGGGTCATGAGACCTAGGTCTCGAGACCTGGGTGTGAGTCTTCATTGCAATAATGCAGTGGTATCAGCTGGCCCTCTGAACAGAGCCAGGCAGAGGAGGGTAGGAATGGGATACTGTGTGTGCTTTTTAAAATGCTGTAGCCCCTGACAACCATGTTCCTTCTGTGTCGCCACTGCAGGTACAATACTCAGAAGCTCACTGAGCTGATTTTACAGTTTTATGGCATCAGAGCAGACATGAAGAGGGAGTGCAAACATGCCAGGATGTCTATGAAAGTATTTCTTACTGTTGGAGAACTAGATGACCCAGACCGAGTGTCGAATGGTTGTAACACCACCCGTTTAGAACATAGGCAGGCAGACAGATCTGAAACTGACAATTCTGAGATGTCCCTATCCCTGTTAAAGTGATTGAATCGCTTGATTTCATTTATTTATTTATTGTATTTGCCATGGATTTGAATTGGCTTGGAAGGACTTGAAAAGGGTTAGTCACTCAGTTGTGTCCAACTCTTTGTGACCCTATGGACTGTAGCCTGCCAGGCTCCTCTGCCCATGGGGTTCTCCAGGCAAGAATACTGGAGTGGGTTGCCGTTCCCTTCTCCGGGGGATCTTCCTGACCCAGAGATCAAACCTGGGTCTCCTGCATTACAGGCAGATTCTTTACCTTCTGAGCCACCAGGGAAACCTGGAAGGACTTAGATTATTCAAATGGAAAGACTCTGAAAATTTCCCAACAGCCAGGAGTGTGATCTTTAGATGTCTCCCTCTCTGGTTCTTAAAAAAAAAAAGAGGCAAGATTTGTTTCCCTCTCCTGCCATAAAATGGAAATATTAATTCACGTTTTCCACTGGGCTTGACATCCTCATAGGAAAATAGTACTTTTAGTTTTATGAGATAGAGTCTTTGGAAATTGAACCTGCAAGGTTGAGAAATGCCATCGCGTTTTCCATGCTTTTGAGCATTTATTACCTATGCAATAAAAAAAGGTAGTTTAAAATTTCTCTAAAAACAATTTTAAGAAGGAGAAAGAAATTCTGCCCCTTATCTGCATAGGAATCACTCAGTTTCCAGACCAGAGCAAAGGTTTAATCCCCTCTTGACCTGGCTTCTTGCTGTGTCAGGAGATGATTCAGGGAAGAGGGATTTTTGCTTTTTATAATCTCTGTCACGTGCCCCAGATTGACCCCGAGGAGCTTACACACAGGTTCTGTAAATGCAGCTGCAAGTAGAGACCCCCAGCCCCTACTGCAATCAGATTATGTCTTCTGACCCTTTTCTGTCACCACCACACAGCACCCTTCTGGACTCTCTACACCAGGCAACAATAAAATGTCACTTCAGCGCTACTTTAGGGCTTCCCTGGTGGCCCAGCTGGTAAAGAATCCGCCCACAATGCAGGAGACCAGGGTTCGATCCCTGGGTTGGGAAGATCCCCTGGAGAAGGGAAAGGCTACCCACTTCTGTATTCTTGGGCTTCCCTGGTGGCCCAGCTGGTAAAGAATCTGCCTGCAATGCAGGAGACCTGAGTTCAATCCCTGAGTTGGGAAGATCCCCTGGAGAAGAGAAAGTCTACCCACTCCAGTATTTTGGCCTGGAGAATTCCATGGACTGTATAGTCCATGGGGTCACAAAGAGTTGGACATGACTGAGCAACTTTCACTTTCACTTTCTGTTAAACTAAGAGAAAAATAAGAGAAGAGGGACTTGCCTGGAGATTGAGTGGCTAAGACTCCACGCTTCCAACACAGACAGTCCTGGGTTTGACCCCTGGTCAGGGCACTGGATCCCGCATGCCACAACAGAGATTCCACATGCTGCCGCTATGACCTGGTGCAGCCAGATAAACCAATATTTAAAAAAAAAAAATATATATATATATATATATACACACTCTCTTAAAAGTATACATCTACTCTCTTGTCTTAAAGAAGAAACTAAGAAAGACACCTCACCAATATGGAACCTGGTAATCATTTTCAAGGTTAGATTCCAAAGCCAAGAACAAAAACTAGGTGGTAGAGAGGTGTGTCTTTTTGTTGCTAATGGCTGTTTTTAAATGATCGGTGAGCAGGGAACACTCCATTCCTCTCTTTAGATTCCTTAGGAAGCCCCTCTGTTCCTGGGAGAATAAAAAAGAGCTGTCAGCCTCGAACTCTGCCTTCAGGGCACTGCTGTATAAAGGGACACATCCTGGAGAAGGGTGCAAAGCTGGCCTGGGTCCCAGCTCTGTCACAAGTCATTGTGTGGGCTGGAGAAAGCCACCCTCCAACCACCCCATGAGGTTCAGCAGGCCCATCTGCAGAATGGGGCTCACAGCTCCTCTGTCTTGGTGTCGTGGAGATGAACTGAGAGGGTCTGAAAGCTCAGAGCGTCCCGGGACCCCGCCCTCCACCTGGGTCTGCCCCTCACTGGGAAGCTGTTGGCTCTCCAGTGGGGCAGTGAGGCTGGAGAACGGGGAGGGAGCGGGGGTCCCCTGGATGGGGGAACATCACTTGTGACTGCTTTGGTGTGTCTCCCCTCCTGCAGGAAGGCCAACCACTCGGGCAAAGCCAGGCTGCGGGAGATCCAGAGCGACTCGCTGACACAGCTGGTCCAGCAGCCGGACGTGATGTACTTTATCCTCTTCCTCTGGCTCCTGGTTTACTGCCTGCTGCTCTTCCCCCAGCTGGACGTCAACAGACTCTGATGCGTGTGTCTGCGTAATAAAAGAGACAGGACCCTGGCCGTGGGGTGGGCATTCTCCTTCCTTCCTCTTCTTGCCTATTCTGGATGGGGCACTTCTGCAGATAGTGGAAGACCTCCAAGGAAACTTAGACCCCCCCACCCCTGCCCCGTTCCCACTTTTTTTTTTTCATGTTTCCTTTTGTTTTCTTTTCTTGTAAGTCCTAAGCATGCTTTTCTCTTAGGCTGTGAACACAACACTCAGGTGTGTGGCCGGATCCCTGGGTGGGGTTTGTGTGCCTTGGTCTGTCAGGTATTACGCTTAAGCTTCGTGGCTGAGACTTATGGGGCTTCTCAGGTGGCTCAGTGGTAAAGAATCTGCCTGCCAGTGCCAGAGACACAAGAGATGCAGGTTCGATCCCTGAGTTGGGAAGATCCCCAGGAGAAGGGAATGGCAACCCACTCCAGTATTCTTGCCTGGAAAACCCCATGGGCAGAGGAGCCTGGCGGGCTACAGTCCCTGGAGTTGCAAAGAGTTGGACGTGACTCATCGGCTGAGCACAAGCACTGATTTTTAGCTCGCTTGGTTTTTAAGGTCCCAGATGGACTTGAGTTTCTCACCTCCTGATGCCAAAGGGGATGGATACCCCAGGGAGAGCCCCCATGGAAAGAAAACTGCCCCACTTTCCTCGAAGAGTGGCATTTGGGTGAAGGTGCTGGGGGTCCTCTGGTCATTTGGCAGTTGGTCGTGGTCTTTGTGGGGCAGGGGAGGGGGTTATCCAAAGAACAGCGCAAAACTGCCAGCCCCAGGAAAGTGTGTCCACAGTCGGCAAAATGCACAGAAAGTAAAGGCAGTGCACACTTGTTCACACTAGGGTGTTTTTCTAGGGAGAAGATGCATTTTCATTTTGCTTTTGCACTGACCGAATTGAGATAAAGCTGTAATTTTTCAAACCTTTTCCACCCATGAAATCCTCCTTTCAAGAGGATTCTCAGGCGGTGGTCTAGTCGAAACATGAAACTCGGGGCAAGGCCTGGGATCCCTCTTGTTCTGCCTGGGCAGTCCCGCACCCGTACCCCCCACCTCCGGCTTCCATCCGTGGCTCCAGAGGCTGGTACCCAAGGCTGGTACCCAAGGTCCCCCAGAGCACTGTAAACACCTAGAGCCTCCCAAAGCCCCGGGAGGAGGGCAGGAGTGACCTGGCTGAGAATGAGCTCTGGTTGATGTTAGAGCAGGTGGTAGTGCAGCAGGTTCCTGCTCCGAGAGCACCTTTGTGCACACCTGCCGCCCAGCTCGAGTCTCAGCACCGCCGTCCTTTGTGGTCCGTTATAATGGGTTATAATGGGTTTCTTGAAAAGGAGAAAGGTTTCCGGAAGGCATCTTGAGAAGTAGCCAGAACTGGCAGGTGGCAGAGGATGGGCATCCAGCCGCCCTCTGGTCTTCCGTCTTCCTTTTACCCTGGGCTCCCTGCTTCCTTTCAAGACACAGGCCCTGCCTCCCTGGGTATCCCTCCCTTCTCCCCTTGTCCCCTCCCCCGGCTCAGAAAGTATATCGGGTGAGACTTATAAACCCACAGACAACGAGGTCCAGAGGGTCTTTCAGACAGCGTCTTTGCTGCTGAACCCAGAGTGGCAGAGCCGTTTGACCAAGATGGCACAGCCAACCGGGAGCAGACTTCAAGTGTACCCAGACCTCCCGATGTCCCCTCCGGAGCTGTCCCCTGTCTTAGGGAACTTCTCTTGGGCCCAGGGATGTCCTGAGAAAATAAAATAATAAAATGAATAGATAAGAATGTCCTCATTTAAAACAAAACCAAAATTTTTAGGTTAACAGCCAACCTTTGTTTTTTTCTCGTATTTTTCCCACGAAGTTTTGTTCCCTTCCCACCCGTTCCTTCTGGAATACCCTTCACAGCTCTAATAGCCTGTCAGCTGACCCACCAGTGTTGTTCTTACTCCAAGAATCATGCTTCTCTCTCTGCAAGCCAAGGACTTGCTTATTTCGAGCAGTGGGTCTACAGTTTACAGAATTCCAGCATGGCCGAAAGAATTTACCTAGCACATTTCAGTTGATGACAGCCAAAACCTGACTTCTATCCCACTCTGGTTATAGCCTGCCTGCTCTCCATGAACGAATCTAAGCCTTCCAACTGAAAGCTTTTGGGAGCTTGGAGCAATTCCATCTAGAGGGCCAAATGTCCCATGGAAAATGAGCTAATTAATGAGCTCCCTAGCATCATTGAACGCTCAGAGTATGATACTAAAGATTATGTGTGTGATATTTTATAACTCTGGACATCAAACAGTCCTCACCTAAATTAGATGCTTGAAGAGCCAGGGAAGAGCTGACCCGAACGTTAATCATTTCATTTTATGGATCTAGACCTTGTTCAGAAAAGTCTGCAGGTTTTCTCTCTCACCCATTACAAAGTGTAATATTGTTTAAAACCATCTACTGGCAAGATGCCTGAAAGTCATTTAGTTCAAGTTGGCAGCAAACTGATTTTTTTTTTTTTAAGAAAAAAAAAAAAATTCTTACTTGAGGATAGGCTTGTGTGAATGAAGTCAGTTATAGAAGGTGAGTAAGAAGCCAGCAGGACAAACCACCCCATGATTTGTATTTATTTTCAAGAATTTATTTTTAATTCTTATCCAAGTAATACATATTCATAGTTAAAAAAGAAACAAATATAAATAAGGCTTTTAATGGAAACTGGCAATCTCCTATGTCTTGCTTCCTGGAAGTAACTCTTTCAACTCTTCCTATTTATTCTAATATTTACCTTTGCATTTCTATATAACATGCTTATATTTCTTTTTATTTTTAGAATTTAGAATAGCAAGATGTCTACTGGCTTGCTGCCATGGCAGAGAAGGATCTTGCTCTTAGCCAAAGCCCACTTTGTTTTTCCAGCATAGTTAGATTATGTTGTTTGGTACATCTCTCTTCATCGTGAGCCTATGAGGTCTGTTTACTTCTGAACCAAGTGGTGTACTATAGTTGCTTGTCTTTTCCCGTCAAATTTTTTCTCCTTGATGATGATGATGATGATGATTTTGGTGTGGCACCTTCCTTAGTAACTTCTGAGAAAAGAACATGGAAAGTAAATATTTTGAGATTTTGCATAACTTTAAATGTCCTTATTCTGCCCTTACCTGGGGGTAGCTGGGTATAGAATTGTGGGTGGAAAAGAATACTCTCCTACCACTCCCACCTCCAACGTGGTTGTTGAGATTCTTAATGTCATTCTGATTCCCAGGCCTTTAGCTGTGACCTGGGTTTCTCCACCCTCTCAGGAAACAATTTAAGATCCCTTCATTCTTAGTCTTCTGAACGGTCACTTGATACACAAAGTGATGGTGTACCCTTGATGGCATACCTTGTTCTGGGCTCTCATGGGAAATTTCTTAAGTTTTGTAATTGTTCACATTTTTTCTTTCTGGACCACCTGTTGTTTCAATGTTGGGCCTCCCAGGCTAATCCTCTAATATTGTTTTTTCTATTTCTCATCTCTTAATTTTTTATCTGCTTGCAAAGACAGTTAACTTTATCTTCTCAGTGTTCCTAGTGAATGGTTTTTAATTTCCAAAACATTTTGTGGCTGTTCTCTTGTTTCTGTTTTATAGTGTCCTGTTCTTGTTTCATGACTACAGAACTTATCTCTCTGGATGTTCATGATAGTGGGGTTTTGAGGAACTTCTTTTCTGCTGTTTTGCTTTTATTTCCTCTAAGTTCCCTTTCTTTTGTTAGTCTCAATCTCTGTCTTTCATGTTACACATTTTCTTGAGATATCTAGTGATCCTGTGGATCTGTTCTTGTGTACGAGTGATATTTCAAAAAATGGATCAGAAACTCTGTGTGTCTCTAGGGTCACCAGGTGGGCACCTGAACTCTTCAGGGGAGGACCACACATATCAATAGTTGCAGGTCTTTTCTCATTGTGTTTCTTTAGAGATATTTCCACTTCCCTCTGAGCATACACAGGGCTGCTACTAGTCTATGTAGAACCCTCATGCAGTTTCAAAAGGGCATTCCCTCTGAGTGGATGATTTCAAGATAGGTACCCCTCTGGGGCAGACGCCACCCATGGGCATGTGGCCAAACTGGCAGGCACATCGTTTGCCTCTTTCTCCAGGGAAAGGCTTGAGGAGCAGAGCAAGGACTGGATTTAACTCCCAGTTGCCCGTTAGCCTTGCCCCTTTGTGCAGTGCACAGACCGGAGGGCTGTACCCAGAGATGCTGGGGCACACCCGAGTGCCCGCATCCTGACCTCTGAGCAGGCATCTCATCACCATCAGTATGTAGACACCCTGGGTCGGTCCCACTGCACTGTGCCTGGTGTCCCGGGTTGGAGCTCCTCTGCTTACCCCGGGAAGTGGCTGCAGCTCAGTACCACGTCTCTCCTCTGCACGTAGTAGGTGTTGGGGTTCCCTGGCCCTGCTCCCGTCTGCCTCCACCCTGCCCCTGCCACAAATGGGTTGGCATCTCTCACCTGCTGTCACCTCCTCTCTATCGCTCTGTCTTCATGATGCCATCACATCCGTTCCTTTGCTCTTGTTTCTGGGCTCTCGCCAGGGAAGACATAAACCCACGTGCTCGGGTCACCATCTTGAACACATGGGCCCTGTCTCTGCAGACCCCCGCGTGCTCTCTCCCTGCTGGTTAGGCAAGCTCGCTGCTGCATGGACATGCTTGTGAACTTGCCCTGAGTCCTGCTGGGCCAGTGGTCTTCAAGTGCCTTCAGATCACATTGGGCCAAGTTGAGGGGTGGGGTGGGGAGGGAACACACAGCGCTCCCCTCGATGCCACAGTGCAGATGGGGGTTCTCCTTCCTGCCTCTTTCACCTCCTGCCCCCACACAACCATCTTAGAGCTCCCGCTCCCCCCAAGCTCCATGGAGTCATGCGCTTTTTAGGTTTTCATTGCCTGCCTTGCTTCACTGGGGAAACCAGTAGGCCACACTGGTGTTGGCCAGTGAACAATTACGGATGCTCCCTCTGTTGGGTGGCTGTTTGGAACTGGGTGAACAGTTTTTCCCCCTCAAGCTAGGACTCTGTGGGGAGATGGGTTACCACCAGGA